CCACTGCCTTATTCGCAGCTGTAACTGCAGCACCCAGCATTATGTTCACACAGTAGGTTTTCAACAAATTGGATTACAATATACCTGAAGGAGTGAATTCCTTACTGAAAGAAAACAGTGACAATGATGACATTCAGGAAGTGTTGACAACATTTCTAAAAACTGAATGAGCAATTCTCAGTTCTGCTTCTGTGTAACGAGTTCCTCTGCAATTCCTCTCAAGCTTATTTTGAAGTCTCAGATTGAAGAAGTAAAATATCACGACTCGTCATTAATGATTCATTAATTTTTCTTCTGTGTCGCATCAGATAGATTATACAATTGGGGACTTTTCAGTGAAGCTAAAATTTACCTTGCACAATAAATTCCTTAGTCAAAACAAAAATTCAGCTATCAGACACACTCAGAAGCATGGAACCAAATCTCTATGGAAATGGGATTTCCCCTGGGCAAAATGTTTATACATGGTATGCATCTGCTAACTGTGACTCACACATGAATGCAGAAAGCTTACACAAAGCCTGATATAACACAGATGAAGGAACAAAAATACATTTGCTAGCATTTCTGTGTGTTGGGGAGGAGACTATTACTTGATTTTAAAATTACTGCTTGATTTTATTATTGTGTACGTCAGTTTCACCTATGAGCCATTAAATTTGATGGCCGTAAACAGTAACACATCAAAATATAAGCTACTCTCATAACAGCAGCATAACAAAGTAATTCCATTGACTCTCTGTTCTAGGGTAAAGAATGAGAGTATATAAAACTAGACCTGTGACTGGGTTTTAAAAATCCCTGTGCTCACCAATTCTGTCTTGTTCCTGTTTGCACTTCCATGTCCTCTGCCTTCTAGTCCTTTTTGCTTATTCTGGGAGAGGTTAGAAATAATATTTTCTCATACATCTTTTTCTGTCTCTGCAATGAAGAAAAGATGAGATTATAAGTCATCAATAGGGCTTTGGACTGTAAACCTGACTTTTATTAGCTTTCCCTTTACTATGTGAGGTTCTAAGCCTACAAATGTGTGCTTTATTATATGGTATTCACAAACACTTTCAGCAATTAGGGCAGTAGGTGAGACAGGAGCGCAGTGTCTTTGTCCAGGAAAATGACATTGGGCTGGTTAATTACGGAGGACAACTCAAGAAGGAAAAACTTTGAAATAAAATGAAAGACTGATTTTGTTAAGAATATAGAAATGAAAAATAAAAGGTAATGTTTTACATTGTTATTTTTTTCTTAAGTTAGCTAAGGGTGTTTTAAGAAGTTGTATATCTATGCTTTCGGTTTTTCTCTCTTATTTTATTTTATTTTATTTTATTTTTTTGTTACTCCTCACCCGAGGATATTTTTCCATTGATTTTTAGGAAGAGTGAAGAGAGAGGGAAAAACAGAAACATCAATGTGAGAGAAACACATTGATTGGTTGCCTCCTGCCCTCACTCTGGCCAAGGCCTTGGCTGCTTTGGGTTTCTTAAGATCCATGTTAAATTAAGCTACTAATGGGGAGGAATCCTACTTTTGAGGACTGAAAAGTGCCAAATTTTATTTTTTTATTTTTTTTAAATTAAATCTTTATTGTTCAGATTATTACAGTTGTTCCTCTTTTTCCCCCCCATAGCTCCCCTCCACCTGCTTCCCTCCCCACCCTCCGCCCTCACCACCCCCCACTGTCCTCATCCATACGTGCACAATTTTTGTTCAGTCTCTTCCTGCATCTCCCACACCCCTTTTCCCCCCAAGAATAGTCAGTCCACTCCCTTTCTATGCCCCTGATTCTATTATAATCACCAGTTTATTCTGTTCATCAGATTATTTAGTCACTTGATTTTTAGATTTACTTGTTGATAGATGTGTATTTGTTGTTCATAGTTTGTATCCTTACCATTTTCTTCTTCTTCCTCTTCTTAAAGGATACCTTTCAGCATTTCATATAATACTGGTTTAGTGGTGATGAACTCCTTTAGCTTTTTCTTATCTGTGAAGCTCTTTATCTGACCTTCAATTCTGAATGATAGCTTTGCTGGATAAAGTAATCTTGATTGTAGGTTCTTGGTATTCATCACTTTGAATATTTCTTGCCACTCCCTTCTGGCCTGCAAAGTTTCTGTTGAGAAATCAGCTGACAGTCATATGGGTATTCCCTTGTAGGAATATTATTATTAAAGACTGTCTTTCTCTTGCTGCTTTTAAGATTCTCTCTTTGTCTTTTGCTCTTGGCATTTTAATGATGATGTGTCTTGGTGTGGTCCTCTTTGGATTCCTTTTGTTTGGGGTTCTCTGTGCTTCCTGGACTTGTAAGTCTATTTCTTTCACCAGGTAGGGGAAGTTTTCTGTCATTATTTCTTCAAATAGGTTTTCAATATCTTGCTCTCTCTCTTCTTCAGGCACCCCTATAATTCGGATGTTGGTACGCTTGAAGCTGTCCCAGAGGCTCCTTACACTATCTTCATATTTTTGGATTCTTTTTTCATTTTGCTTTTCTGATTGGGTGTTTTTTGCTTCTTCGTATTTCAAATCTTTGACTTGATTCTTGCAACCCTCTAGTCTGCTGTTGGAACTCTGTATAATATTCTTTATTTCAGCCAGTGTATGCTTAATTTCTAGTTGGTCCTTTATCACAACCTCGAGGGTCTCATTAGATTTCTTGAGGGTCTCATTAAGTTTATCGGCTGTTTCTAGAAAATTCTTGAAAAACCTTAAAAGTGTGTTTTTGAACTCTATATCCAGTAGTTTGCTTTCCTCCATTTCTTTCATTTGTGTCCTGTTTCTTTGTCTCCGCAATTTTTTATGCTTCGCTGTGTCAATGGAGTGGCTTTGTGTACTAGGTGTCCTATAGGGCCCAGTGACTCAGCCTCCCCAATTACTTGAGGTAGACACTCTTGGTGCACCCCCTTGTGGTCTTCGTACACAATCTTGTTTTAGTTAAGCCTTGATTGTTGTAGGTAACACTGGGAGGGATTGACCTCCAGGCCAATTGGCTGTGAGAATCAGCTGTGTCTGCAGTGGGAGAACTTCTGTGCTGGAGACACCCCTCCGGGGCAAGCCTTGCTTCAAAGGGGCTTTGGTGCTCCCTGAGTCTGCCCCCCGAGTGTGTCCTTTATGAATCCAAGGAGCTGCAATCTGAATGGTCCTACTCTGACCACCGGGCACACTGGCTCCTGGATCTCTAAGGAGGTGCTAATCTAGCCTCTGCCTGAGGCTATCCAGCAGGAGCCAGCTGTGACGCAATGCAAGTTGCCATGGGGCCTTGGGCCAGCTTCAGTTTGTTAGGTAATTATCAGATTGCAAAGGGCCAGGCTTTTCATATGCAAAAGCCTCCATGGCTTGGGCAGGGCGGGGTCCCAGGGGATCAACAGGGCGGAGCAAGCAGTTATGGCTGCTCTCAGTCCTGCCCTCAGAGGCTCTGTTTCTCAGTGTCCCGGCAATCGCTGCAAGCCCCCCTGAGAGAAAGTTGCCCTGGAGTTCCGACCGATGCCAGACAGTCCAGTTTCTCCCGTATGAGTCTGGGTCCCCAGAGACTCATCCGGTACTGGAGCTCAGAGCTTGAGACTCCCTCCCGATTGAAAAAGACAACCGTGTCCTCAGTCACCAACCCTCTCTGCATGCGCCTCTGTACCTCTGTATTTTACTTCCGCACCTCACCTCCTCTGAGTCTCAATATGCTTTTCTCTTTCCTTCTAGTTGTAGAATTTCCACTCAGCCAGCCTTCCTGTGATTCTGGATGATGTCTATTCCATCTTTTAGTTGTATTTTTGAAGTGGTTGTGTGAGGCAGCAATCTCCAGTGTTTACCTATGCCGCCATCTTGGTTTCTTATCAAAAGTGCCAAATTTTAAACCCACTTGCCTGCTTATATACCAAGATGGATATTTGGTCACTGTAATATTCATTGCCATTATTGGTGATGTGACTGCTGCTATGATTTTCCTTCCCCCATCCCAGCAAACACTGAAGGGAGGCTAACTTTAAGGATTGAATTGGAAACTTAACAGTTTAATTGGTGCATTTTCCCTACCTTTTATCAATAGAAATCTAGGGGGGACAAACAAAAGATAAATTTTAAAAATTTAATTTCAGATGAATTAAAACAAACAAAAAAACAAAAACAAGCAACAAAGAACTGCCACCATCCTAATCTCTAAACTTTAAAGTGTGGCTTCCAAGTACCATTTGTCTGGACTGAGGTCAAGGAGCAACTGAGAGCCAACACATGACTCTGAAGGTCAAATAGGATACAGATTTCTTCAAAACTATCTTGAAAGAAAATTTAAAGTGTATATTAATGAGATACATGAGCATGGATGGTGCACTGGGTGACAAAAGAATGTTGCAATAGAGAACCAGTTTGTACTGTGCAATGGAGAGAAAGCAAATCTATAGAAGATCAATTCCTACCCTATGGTCTCTCAGTGAAGAGTCAGAGGGGACTTGGGTGAAAGAAATTTGTGGTGAGACAAGTACATTTCATTTAAGTCATAGTTCACTAAAAGAGAGCTTACAAATCTTAGTATGTTGCAAAGCTATTAAATAATTATTTATGACAGAAAGTCATAAAATCAGTTAATTATACAAATACAGCACACACACACAAAAAAAAAAAAACACCTGAAAATAAAGTACCTGTGCTTGGGAAAGCATGAAATAAAGTATCATTGTAACCATTTGTTTTCTACATACAATTCTACTTATCAGTGAAGGTATAATTGCCACATTACGTACATGCCAGGAAGTTGTAATTTCTTTCTTTCTTAACAGTTCTTTATATGTCAATAACCAAATTACAGAGGAAATCCTTGATTTAACACCTAGTTTCTCCTGTCTTGTTGACAGTCAGTCAGTTCTCCCTCTGGGTGCCACACCTAGCTGAGAAGTAAATGAAGGCGGGTAGTCAGTGGTCCCAGACCCAGCAGTTGTTAAATAATTTGACTATCAACCTTAACAAATGTCCCTTATTTTCTTATAAGAAGTAAAACATCAGTGCAGTTCAAAGGATAAAATATGTACATAATTTTATTCAAAAATTTATATTATGTTACAAATATGTACAATTTCAATAATAAATTAAAAATAAATGTTCGTATACATCATGTTACTCAATGACATTTTTCTGCCTTCATTTCTAAGAGTTCATCCGACGCAAGATCCTGATCATCTTCTTGCTAGAAAAACTTCTTTGGCAGCACACTGGAAATGCAAAGTGTTTCGGTGCCTTTGAGCAATGGGAATGTGTTTGTAAATAACAGAAATGCTGAAGAGGATCACTGCAATCAGGAAGTGCCGATGAACATTTGTACAATATTTACAAAACTTCGCAAAAATTCTTTAACATTTTTTTCCTCCAATTCCTCACATTCTTTGCATCCAGATTCAGTTATATTCTGCAAAATAAAAAGAAAGGATTAGAATGGAAAGTCTGGTATATTTTGAATCATACAGTGAGGTCTTGAGACATGAAAACTTGGGCAAGTTAATATCATATTAGGAAGAACTGGGAAATTTGATGTGGGCTTATTTTTATAATGGACTAGAGGCCCGGTGCATGAAATTCATGCACAGGGGGTCCCCTCAGCCCAGCCTGCACTCTCTCCAATCCAGGACCCCTCAGGGGATGTCTGACTGCTAGGGATCACAGGGATCGGGTTTAATCCGGCAGTTGGACATCCTTCTCACAATCCTAGACCTCTAACTCCTAATTGCTCACCTGCCTGCCTGCCTGGTTGCCCCTAAATGCCCCCCCCCACCAGCCTGATCACCCCTAACTGCCCCCCCTGCCAGCCTGGTCGCCCCTAACTGCCCCCTGCTGCTGGCCAGGTCGCCACCAACTGCCCCCTTCTGCCGGCCTTGTTGCCCCTACCTGCCCCCCCTGCTGGCCTGGTCGCCCCCAAATGACCCCCTGATGGCATGCTCGCCCCCAACTACCCCCACTGCTGGCCTGGTTGCCTCTCACAGCCCCCCCCCCCCCACCACCACCACCAGCCTGGTCATCCCATGCAGCCTGCTTGTTCAGTCGTTTGGTAGTCCCTCACTAACCTCCCTGCCGGCCTGGTCGTAGGCAGCCATCTTGTGAGGGCATGAGGGTTAATTTGCATATTACCTCTTTATTATATAGGATTAAGGACATTGACAAAAGTAAGCCATGTCTCTCAGACTATGGATTCCCTACTTAGAGCCTTCAATAGTTTCTGTTCATCTACCCTCAAATGAAGTCCAGGCCTCCCAGCATGGCACATAGGCCCTGCTTACCTATTTCTTGCACATTTCCTCACTGTCTCAAACATTCTGCCCTAGGAACACTGAGTTCACACCTTTATCCCCATGCAGGCCATGCTTTTAGATGCCTCACTGCCTTTACTTCTCTCTCTGTCTGTTCAGCACTTCCTATTTCAGCTAAGATTACTCAGCTGCTGTCTGGACTAGGAAGTTTTTCCTGAACCTGTGAGCCCCAGTGATTAGCCTAAATGTCCCATTGCTACATTTTCAGAATCCCTGGTGTGGATTCTCCCTTACAACACATTGCATATTACACTGATGTTATGGACTTTTATGCTTTTTATACCACTATTCTTAAATGCTTCCAGGAGAGCATGGCCATGAAATTTTGTTTCCCTAGCATTTAGCACAGGGCTGTACACATAGTATTCATGCGATCATTGCTGGTTGAATTGAACTATTTATGTGAATACCACAAATCCTTGTAATTCAAACAGAGTTTCACTGATAACTAGAATATTTCAAATGTAGGAATCATAAATACATTTTTTGAGATCAGCTGAACCATGAAACCTCTACCAGCAAAAAACAAAATTAGATTCAATATCCATTAAGCACTTGAAATTCAGATTCACCAGTATTCATTAAGCACAGATTCTATGCTAAGCACTGTCATATTCCATATAACGCTGTCCGATTTAATACCGAAAATAATCATGTCAAATAGGAAGGCAGAGGTATTAAATGACACAGCTCAGTTGACATAATAAATGAAATTCTCCATGTCCAAGTCTTTTGACTGTGCAGCCCCCCCCACTCTTTCCACTACATGTGTCACACTATGCCAGAATTGCATAAAAGAGCTGACCATTGATACTGTTATGAATTATTTGTTGCATGATTCAGTCTTTCTATCAATAAGATAGAAACAACACATCATAAAGAGTATTTTAAATATTAACAGGTTCTTTTCATAAATACAATGAGTAAGTAGTATATGCCAGGCGTTGTTCTGGGAGTTGGGATCCAGCACTGGAAAAAACAAAACAAAAAAACACAAAATCTGCCCCTTTGAAGTTGACATTTGAGTGGGGAAAAGCAGACAATATTCATTAAGTAAAATGCATAGTATGTCAGAAAGTAGGACATGCAGAGAAGGGGATATAGCATGCTGACATGGACATGGACTGCAAACTGTAAAGTGGTGACATCACTGAGAAGGTGACATTTAAGTAAAGACTTAAAGCAGCCTGGAATTCTTAGGGGAAAATCCAAGGTGTCCAGCCACACAAGCTTTAGGCTCTTTGCACTTTGAGTTCCCTCCACCTGAACGTACTCCCCCAAGTATCCTTAATGCTCGTTCCCTCACATCTTTGCCAAATGTCAGCTTAGTAGGTAAGTCTTCTCTAAAGTAGAGTCCCAGTGCCTTTACCTGCCTTCTTTTTGGCCATTAGATTTAGTGAGTAACTGATGTATTATTCTTTTGCTTATTGATCAGTTTACTTATGCTTCCTCCCTCCTTAAGATCAGGGACCACATTTGTTTTTCACTCCTATTTTCCCGAGGCCCTACAATGGGGCTCAAAAATTATTTGTTAAATTAATTAATTATTATATCTTCTTCGTCCATAAAACTTCTTTCTATGCACTTTGCTTTGGCCACTAACGTTTTGCCATGAGAGCCATAATTTGTTGTACCTTCACATAGCTGATCTCCCAGCCTACAAGAGGAGCTCCCAGTGTTTGCCTTCCTGGAACCCCATATTGTTTATGTTGCCTGAGATAGTCTAAATTATTAATATTTGATACTCAAATTATTCATATTTTTTGTTATCCTTTTACAGCATATATAAGAAGACGGACTCTGACGTGAAACTGCTCAGATCTGAATCCTGGCTCCCCATTTTCTTAGCTACATGAATTGGAGGAAGTAAGTCAAGCTCTCAGTGCTCCAATTTTTTCAACACTGAAACAAAGGACAACCATCTCACAGATTTATTGTAAGGACCCAGCGAATTACCAATTAACCCTTAAAGATCGTGTCTGGCGGAGTAATAACCCAATGAACATGGATTACTAGTATTCATGCCAAACCCTTAATTATGCGGAGTAATGTCTACCCACTGCACCTGCTGATAAACACCTTGAGGTCAGTGACCTGACTGGTTCACCACTGTCACCCTAGCACGGAAGCACACTGCCTGGCACCATGCAGTACACGTGTGCTGAATGAGTAAGTCAATGAGCAGTTTAGGATTGTGTGCACACTAGTGATGCTTCCATTCTGGATGCCACTCCACTGGAATTAAGTCCCCCTCCCTTCCGAGTGTCTGCTTGTCCATTCTATCCAGCTCATGACTTCCCCCAGTCAAGCCAGAAACATCTGCCGTAACTCACCCCATTAGATGATAAACTGGAGTTTGTTAGGATGATAAGGTTTTCTATCACCTCTCTAATATCCATATTATTCGACTCCTGCCAAATAACGTGTAACTCCAGGAGAAAGCACTTCATCGCTGTGACTTTGCAATTGGGCTGAAAATAAAGTTACAAAGAACCACTTTGAGAAACACGTTATTTTCCCATTTTTCATTTTCACATAGATGCAACTTTGATTTTTTTAACAAGTCAATCCAAATATTTTGTAAAGAAACACAATACCCCTAAAATTTTTTACAAAGGAAGCAGCTTGATGTTTTTTTAGCAGTGAAATTGAAACCAAAGCAAACTGCTAACAAAGCAATCAAGGAAGATGGTGATATTGTACAGAAGAAAGAATGAAACTGGAAAATGTGGAAATCCTAGGCCACCTTTACTCACTGAGCACAGTTCCTCTGTATAGAAGGGTGAGGATACTGTCTGAGACTCTGAAAACACTGATATCTGTAGTGAAAGAACTTTTAGGATCAGGTGGTAATGTTAACATTTGAAACAGTGGTAGCTGTCAATCATGCTATTCCTGCAAGATCCAAAGTTTCAGAGGCAGATGGGATTCCAGGAAATTTATTAGAAAAATCAAAGCAGGGGTAGTACCTGGTTGGCCAAATCAGAAAGGTACCTTATTGGTACCACAAAAATGTGTTTCCCACAAGGGTTACCTTAACAAAAACCTAAACTGAAAAGAAAAGAGGCATTTAATGAACACCTCGGGATTTGCCCATGCGATGCTTGACTCATGCGTTGCACAGTGCTGGGACCCTGCAGGCCCTGAACAATGCTTACTGCACAGGTGAATGAAAGCAGAAACACACTCATGTGCCTGGCACTGGCAACACAGTAGTCATCCAGTTACCCGTAGCCAACCACAGTCTGAAAATATTAAATGGAAAATTCCAGGAAAAAACAATTCATAGGGCATGGCTCTATGATCCTCCTGACATGTCGTCAGAGGTAAATAGTAGCTTCATAACACTCCATCACTTCACTTCATCTGATCACAGAGGCATCATATCATCTCACATCATCATAAGAAGGGTGAATACAGTACATTAAGATATTTTGATATTTTGAGAGAGAGACCACTTCATACAACTTTTTTACAGTATATTGTTATAATTGTTGTCATTTGTTGTTATTTATTGTTGCTAATTTCTTACTGTGCCTAATTTATAAAATAACTTTAGCATATGTATTTAAGTAGGTACAGGAAATAATAACAAACTAGAACAATTACAATAATGTACTGCAAAAAAAAGTTATATAAATATGGTCTCTCTCTCTCTCTTTCTCTCAAACATTGTATATATAGAGTTTGGTACTATCCGTGGTTTCAGCATCCACTGGGGTTCATAGAATGTATCATATCCCTCATGGATAAAGGGAGACTAATCCATTCCCTTTCCCCCAAAACAGCTGCTCAGGATCAAAAGGGAAAATACTATCACCAAGTTGGTAGTAAAATAGATAATAAATAAAATCTCTATATATAAAAGCCTAATACACAAAGTGTCCCCTCAGGAGTTGGACCGACCGGGAATTTGATCGCTTGCTATGACATGCACTGACCACCAGGGGGCAGTGCGGAATGAAGGAAGGCCCTGGCCAGCAGCCAGCAGCCCCTAGGGACCCTACCCATGCATGAATTTCATGCACCAGGCCTCTAGCAGAATAATAAAAAATAAAACCACGGTTCAGAAAAGCACCCAGGTAACACAGCTAGAAAGTGACTGAGTCAGGATTTAAATCTCAATGTCAGTCTCAATTTCTTTCTACAACCCAAGAATTGCAAGGTTAAAAAAGCAATCTCAGGATGCTGAGAATTGGTGGTTAATTGACTACTTTCTACTTTGAATAAATGCAAAGAAAAATGGAAAGCATGCTGAAGCCAAAGGAGGGAGATGATTTCTGTGTGCACTGCACTAAGTGGTCGATGAATATCTATTTTTCCTAGTTTCTGGCTATGGCTTCTTTCCAATAGTACTTCGAAAGTCCTGGTAGGGGCAAACCCTTCTATTTCAGGGAAGTTCTAATTGAGAAATAACAGAGAGGACTCCCTATTCTGAGCAATACATGGCATGGTTTGTTTTCCATGAGGTGAAGAAGTCAAGGAATTGTTTCTTGATTTTTAGTAACCAATCAAGAAAAGGACTAGCAACATGCCTGAAGCCATACATGCCTTGGGCAATGCCAAAGTATTCATTAACAAGTTCAATATTATTATTTAATTCTGATAGGTTTTCTGGGTTGCGTTTGTTTCTTTTCTCACAGAGAAACCAGCCAGGATCCTTTTCTGACTATTGTAGAGATTCATGCAAAATGTGAGCCATAAATGCATTTAAGCAATTTGTAGGAAATATGATTAAAGATGGTAATATACTACAGCACTGGAAACAACTGATATGTTGGGTACTCTTAAATTAAATCAGTTAACCTGATTCTTGCATTTAATTGCATCACAAAATTATATAATATATTTTGTTTGACATTGTTGGAAAAGGCTTTTATATATTGTATCAAAAAAGCATCTATGTAGCTCTTTGTTCCAAAGCCCCACAATCTCAACAATTACTTATAAAAATTCATTGATTGTATAAGAAAACACCAAAATTTAGATTTTAAAACTACATATTTTAGTAAATTTATAAAAAATGTACTTCTTAGACTTTGAAAACTGGAAAATATAGTAATTTTAAAACAAAAACTATACTCACATGAGCATCACTTTCAGTATATAAAGTGGCATCAATATGTATAGACTGAAAGGGAAGAAAATTAGGTAATATAAAAAATTATGCACTGCTTTAGATATGAGAACAGTCTACTGACATTAAATTAAGCTTTTTAAATTAAATTCTTTGAGATAATTTTAGACTTGTATATAATTATAAGAGAAATTACAGTGAGACCGTGTGTATCCTTCACCATTGCCCCCCAATGGTAATATCCTGCATAACCACAGTACAAGATTACAACCAGAAAATTACATTGATACAATCCACCCACCTTGTTCAGATCTCACCATATTTATGTGCAATAAAGTGTGCGTGTGTGTGTTGTTCTATGTAATTGTATCAATGGCTTGTACTTCAGTTATTATATTTTCATTTCTATAATTTCTTATTTGGTTCCTTTTATATAGCGTATTACTCTGCAAAGACTTTCTGATTTTTCAGTTGTTTCAAGAATATCTGTAATTGCCTGTGGGTGCAATTGTATGATGTTGCTTGAAAATACTTGTGTAATAATTCTGACCTCTAATCCATGTCAGTTTCAGAATGTGTTGATTATCTTTTTTCACTCAAGCTGTAATTTTTTCTGCTTCTCAATGTGATCAGTGAGTTTCGATGGTATTCAGGTACTTTGGCCATTACATCAGGAGGCCTTGATCTTATTTAAATGTTCTAATTTAGCCTGCAGTCACCCTGATTAGGTTCAGCATGCAGGGTCTGACCTATGTTTGTGTGCTTACATTCCAATGAAGTTCCGTTTTCAGAATTTTTGTGGTGCTGATTTGGAAGGGGGGCTCACTTCATGCCCCTGGGACTTCGCTGGTCCCTGCTGTGTCACCCAGGGGGGCAGAAGACACTTCATTAAACACAGCTGTCAGTGGGCTCCTCTTCTCTGCCCCTCCACCCTGCGGGCTCTCTCAGCCCAGTGGGTGACGTTAGGTTGGAGAGGGGCTCTCTAGCCCACAGGCAGAGAGCCTTTCCCAGGGTCAGGCTATTCCCCTTGCAATTGCCCCAAAGATGTCTGGTTTCTCTACAGTGGTTAGCAAACTGCGGCTCGGCAAACCGTGGCTCGTGAGCCACATGCGGCTCTTTGGCCCCTTGAGTGTGGCTCTTCCACAAAATGCCAACTTCTGCGCATGGGCCATGAAGTTTCAATCGCACTGTACGTGAGCGCCCGCATGTAGTATTTTGTGGAAGAGCCACACTCAAGGGGCCAAAGAGCCGCATGTGGCTCGCGAGCCGCGGTTTGCCAACCACGGCTCTAGCAGAAGAAGCAAATCTCTCTCTGGGCTGTTACGACAGAGAGCTCTTCATGCTGGGCCATTTATTAATTGAATTTAAAGATAATTAGGATCCAAAAATTGTAAGTAAAAAATTTCAGGTGAGGTTCTACAAGGCCCACTAATTTCTACAAAAATATTTTTGTTTCAAGTGAGATGCATTAAGACTGACAGCAAAACACAGGGACAGGGCTACGCCACAACAATTACATCAGATAGTTTATGGAAATACCAGGACTTACTTGAATAAGATTTTCAAATTTTTTCAAATCACTTATTACATCCTGCCAGTTTGCCTCTGTTTTTGGAAGGCTTGCACTGATACAGCTGAAAGCAAAACCAAAAGGTAAAGCATTTTGAATGAACATAATACCATCTTGATAAATACTGAAGGCAAAAGAGCAAGCAAGAATGTTTTGTCCTGATGAGTGAAAAGATGAGTGTTAGTCTTGCCTTCATACATCAACATCCCTAGAGGGACAGAAACACCAAACACGTAGGACAACCTTGTGTGAATTTAAAGCTAATTTGGGCACTGACAAAGTTATGAAGACATAACATATAAAAACCGGGTGCAACTGATTACAATGAATAAAAACAGTACCTAATGCATGGTATGACTCAGTAAACGTTTTGAATGAATGACTATTTTTCTTTAAGTAGAGGTCCCATCAGACTTTTAAGTCTAATAAATAAGAAAAATTTTTTAAATGAGCAATAATCACCTTCATATAATGATTTTGAATTGAAATGTTCTCTAGAGTACATTAAACATGCCCCTGGTATGCTGTGCACATCATTGCTATGCCTGCAGCAGCCTTTTCCATAAACATGACAGACGTTAAGCCCAATCTAGGCTGAGTGATCATATACTTGCTCATTTTGGTAAAACAGAAATTTTGAATCTGGACAAAAGATACATACACTGACCAAATGACTATGGGATGATTCTGAAAGCTTCATGAAAAATAGCTGCGCCCTGATGGATTTTCATAGAAGCACGGACCCAACACTAATCCTTCTTTCGAGGAAGGTTTACCTGTGCAAATCTACTGGCTCCCCACACTGTGAGATAAAGGCTGACCTGAGTCAGATTACAGAGCTAGAGGTTGGGTGCTTAGGCCAAGCGGCGCGGTTTACTAGTTGCATCTAAGAAAGAAGAAAAAAGTTAATTGGCATGGAAAATATGAATGTTTTAGGAGAAAAAACAAAAGGTCTAGACTAGAGAAAGAAAGAAATGCTTCCAAATGAACTAGGATAGGGCTCAAAGGACAGGAGAAGCCAGTGTCAGGAAATAGATTAAAAAAAAAAAAGTAACGTGATTGAATCCTAAATATCTATTTTGTTACTGCCATGAATATCATGCAGGATATTAATAAGGAAGGTACTTTCAAGTGTAGTTATATACCAAAGGTCCATTTTATCTGCAGGATGTTAATACTCTTCGCAATCCTATTAGGATATAGAAATGTTCAGTGTTTACCAAACCTTCTGAGTCTCCATAATCAGCCCTCTCTCATACCCCAAATACTGACTACCTACGGTGTAAGGCGACTGAACATACACCATTTCATAGGGAAGATATTGAGGAAGAATGGCAATTAGCATGATGATATTTATGCCTAAACATAAAATTACCTCCAAATGAAGACATGAATGCCAGCCTCAGTTAAGAAATGACTGTTCAGAAGTAAACACAAATAGCACTGGATGGACGTACTCCTCAAATATGGTTTCTGGAAAATAAAATCATAGAGAAAATGATTAAATATCTAAGCTAAAAGGTGATATTTAAATTAGTAGTTTATCATATCTTTAAATCAAATTTAAGAATTAATGTTCTTTTTTCAGAATTAATAAAACTAGAATGTATCTGCTTTGTTGCCTGCCCTCCAGCTTTGTTTCTTGTGGGCAAAATTCTTTAATATGTTTTTAATACATACCAATTTTAAGAAAATGTACAAATCTAATAATATCACCACCAATTTTTTTATTATCCTTAATCTCCTTCTCATCCTTCTTTCATTTTAAATAGTTCAACATATTTTATGCAGCATAGATTAATAACACAAAATACTAACATGGGTTTATAGTTCTAGATTAACTTCATGCAACTGTATGAAAATTAATTATAAATGAATATCACTTGGAGAACGAATTGGATAGAAATGGAAGTCACTGAAGACACTCATGCCATTATGAGAGCCACTGTATAATAATCTTTCTTGGTGATTTAGGAATATCACTTCTCTTGCGACCTTCCAGAATTTTGATACTTTTGTCTGCCTCTTTCATGTTGTCAAAGCTTTAGAATTTCAGATGGCAGTGTTGACTGTCACCTTAACCACTAAGACTCTGTGATTCATTTAGTCTATGCTGAAGGCATGAGTAACAAAAACCCATACTGCACAATTCACTGAGGAGATATATATTTAAAGAACAATAGAGTGAGGTAAGTGAAATAATACATTCACAAGCAAGACATGGAGAGTATATCAAGGTTAACAGAGTTAAAAATCCTATTATATTTACTTTCAAAATAAGAACAATCCATGTGAGAACAAACATCTGTTACATCCCAAGATCTCTAACAAAGAGTCACATTATGAAATACCTGAAATTTAAGTGACCTTTTAGAAAAGTCCATATACTATCTTCAACTAATTATTCTTACCAAAATTCTCATTACTCAATGCCCAGATAAAGCCTTAAATATTGAAGAAGAGCTGGCTATGGCAATGGGTTTCCAGCATCCATCCATCCAGAATACTTCCTATAATAAAATTCAGGGGAAATAATTATCCATTAAAAACACAAATAAACTATAGGGGGTGGGGGGAAGAAAGTAAGGGAATTAATATTTATTGAGCACAGGGAAGGTCAAGGGGGGAAAAAAGGAGACATATGTACTACTCTTTGTAATACTTTAAGCAATAAAACAAAATTAAATAAAAAAGAAAGGATAGAGATGAACAATATTATTTCCCAACTAAAAAAAAAAGGAATCATCCAAAAACATGAATTACTTAAGAATAAATTCTGCTAAATAATGTATACAAGATCTCTGAAAACTACAAAATATCTCTGGAAGAACCAAAATAGGTAAAGAACCAAAATATGCCATGAAAAGATTAAATATTTTTTAAATCTCAATTTTCCCCAAAGTAAAAAAAAAAAAAAAAAAAAATTATTGAGCACCTATTTTTTCTCACAGGCCCTCTATTAGTCACTGAATATATGTATCACATTTAATCCTCACAACAATTGTTATGCCCAGATTTCAAGACCCCCAAAGACAGACCACTAGGGAGCCGAGTCCGATGCAAAAGCAAAGAGCCTTTATTCAAGCCTGGGCTTGGTCCCTCTGCCTCCTTTACTGGTGCAGTGGCAGGATGCGAGAGAGCCCCGAGTTTTGAAAGAACAAAGACTTTATAGGACTTGGGGTCGGGAGGGTGATGTCCAACTCGGACTACTGAATGGCCAATTCCGGTTGGTTGAGTGAGGGCTGGGGGCTAGTGACGCAAGGGCAGGGTACAGCTAGGGTCTGGTTACACAAAGACAGGGGGGTGGTCAGCATACTTTTGGCCTTGAGTTTGTTTTCCCTTGCATTCCTATTGGCTGAGATAAGGGCAGGCTGAGTAACTGATACATTCTGTGGCTTTTTCTTGGAGGAGGGGTTAGGGACACAGCTATCAGTCCTGTTCTGTACTTTCACAATCCTATGGGGTAGGGTTATCAGCATTTGGCAAGTTGTCTGGGCCCCACAGCAAGTCTAAGACAGTCAAGATTAGAGACCAATGAATAGATGGTTCTCTCTCACCCCTCTCTCTCTCTCTCAGAAAAAAAGAAGTGTGTGTGTGTGTGTGTGTGTGTGTGTGTGTGCATGTGTGATCCATGTTGGTCAAAAAAACACCTGAAAAGGTAAAATATTCTATTCCTTTCTCTGGTCAGAACTCAATGTGTACTACTAATATCCTATCTAATAAAAGGGTAATATGCAAATTAACCATCACTCTGTCACAAAGATGGCGGCGCCCATAGCCACAAGATGGCGGCATCCAGTCCTGTCAGCCCCGCCGGAGTTCCCCAGTCCTAGTGGGGCGGCCGCTGAGAGCAGGCAGCATGAGCGGCCTGGCAGAATGCCTGCTTTGTCACCGCGGCAATGAAGGGCCTCTGGGCAGCGGGCATGGAGTGGCCGGGGATGGGGGGAGGCACACTTGCATCGTTGAGGGACCCCCCGCCCCCCCCCCCGCACAAATTTTATGCACCGGGCCTCTAGTATAATTATTATCAATGATAGTAATATTAATTAGGCTACATATTGCTTACCTAGTGCTCTCAGATTTACAAAATTATTTTCATGTACATTATCAAATTCAATCCTGGTAATATTGTTATGTGGAAGATATTATTTTTATTTAACAGTGAAGAAATTGAGGCTCTGAGAGATTAAGTAGTTTGCTTCAGTTAAATGTCATACATGTGGCCATAAAATATGACCTCACATTCCAGGTTGGGCAGGAGGAGGAGGCATGCAAGGAATTTCACAAATTCTGTGGTTGGGAAGTATAGGCTCCTTACTGTAGGAAGAACCTGACCCACTCCAAGCTAATAATAAATAAAAAGCCACCGTCTCTGCTAGCATAAAAGCAGGTCTTCCAAAGTAGAACTCAAGTTCTCCCACAGGCATTATCTCATTTGACTCTCAACAAAAACCTGTCAGAGAGAAGTGGCTGAAACCAGGTTCACTACTTTATGAGAGGCAAACACAGGGATGAAATACACTGTCCACTTCCTTTGCTGCCATATTTTTGGAGAACTACAGAAGAGTGGTTAAGCCTGGCATACAAATTGCATGTGGTCATAAAATGCCCTTTTAATCAGCATCTTTTGTTTGTCCTTCATTCACCTGGGTGCCTGCATCTGGGAATTAAAAGAAGACTAAGTCCTAGCCTGACCCTCAGAGAGCTCACAGAGTTTAAACAGGAAGTTTTGGCAGTCCTGTGACTTGGTCTCCCTGCACAGTGCTTGTTGACCTGATGACCGGCACTGCTAGCCTAGCAGGATGTCACTGCCCAGGGGTAAACACAGGAAGAGTGGACAGGCATATCAACACATCTGGCCAGTTCTAAGAGCTTTAATTCTGGAGTAACTTGTGAAAAGAGCTGTAAATATGTTACATTCTATACGAATATTGTAATTTATCCCACTGAGAAAAATATATCTAACACATGACTGTTTGCTTTATTTTATTCTCTTCGTTTACTTGCCTAGTTGCACATGTAAAATAAATTTTCATAGACTTAACATCAAAAGAAGAGTTCTAAATATTAGTTTATACGGTAAAGACATTTATCTATTCACTAAAACACACTAAAAGTGAAGGCAAACCAAGATTGAATGTGCAATATAAAGAATGTAAGGGAGTGTAGCTGTCCTTTATTGGAAGGTGGGTCGATGTGGAGGTGTAACTTCTCAACTATGCCTTTGATTTTCCCAGTTACTTAGGACTAACAGTCATTAGCAGGGAGTGATGATGGAGAAGAGGTGTTAGGGGTTGAAGACAGAGGAGAATGAAAGAAATCACCATCAAGGCAAGAAAGAGAATAAACTAAAATAAGTATGGGATGAGAGCCATGCCTACTGGAAGTTCATGGTCATGAATGGAGGTAAGATTAGCGTGTGTTTTCTCCAGCCATATTAAGCTGCAAGGAACAGTTAGGCCTGGAATAGGTAGAAAACTGGACTGAATCATAGCTGTGTATGTCAGACAAGCGCAAGAAAGAGGGAGGGGTTGTAGCAAGTATGTTAGGGGATGTAAGGGAGCTACATCCATGGAATTTTATTTTCTTTTTATTGTAAAACTTCTTGGAGAAAGTGTTATTGGAATCACACTGTAAAGAATGGGCAGATTTTAGACATGAGTTTTTAAAAGGAAACAACATTCTAGTTGGAAGAAAGAGCTGAGCATGAACATACACAAACCAGTGCAGCGTGTATTCAGAGGAAAGTGAGCCATTTGATAACAGTCTGAAAGTAGTGGCAGGTAAGAGTGGACAAATCTGTTGCCCCTGTATAAAGCAGGAACTGGTAAACATTTTCTCTAAAGGGCCAGACAGTACATCAGGCTTTGTAATAATAGGCCTTGTAGGGTCTGTCTTGAGGATGTCACTCTGCTATTCCATTGTGAAAACAGCCATAGACCATGCATGAATGAATGGGTATGGCTGTGTTCCAATACAACTTCATTTATCAAAACAGATGATTGGTGAATTTGACCCACAGTTTATAGTTTGCAGACCTATGACTCCTGTGGATCTCTTAATCAGTCCCATTGGAATACAGCTGAGAAACTGATATCTTCAAATGTCTCAGATTTTCCTGTCTGTCATTAAGGGAACTAGCATTTTTCAGTAATTGCTTTCACACTACTTTTAATTGACACTAATATTATGAAAATGTCAAACATAAAATTTTGTGATACAATCTGTGTTCACTAGTAAGTTAAAAAATATATATGAACTAGGTTACCATGGTTACTACTGTGATTTTGAAAAAGTAATCCATGCAAAGATAAGATCTGAAGTTGGTATTTAATGCTCTCATAAAGCCACACACATGATAGTAGGGCCCATAAATCTCAGCTTATCAAAACAACAAAAGTAAATGATTAGGTAGGACGTTTCTTCTTTTAAAAATACAATTTCATACAAAGTTTATAAAATATATGTATTTTAAATATAAATTTTAAATAATACGTTTTTCTTGGGAATACTTAAAACAATACAAATTGCTAAATTATACTGGAAAGTCTCCAAAGCAAATTGTACACATTTAAATATCTATAATGCCAAGGACAAAGGCAGGGATAAAATTCGGATAGCTAGGTTATCATGACTATTCAAAAAAACATTCCTTAAATAGATGGTATCATAAAAGGTGAATAAAAAACACCTCAGGAAGTTTATCATATAAGATAGACAATGATGATGCATATATATAGTTAGAGGGCATATTTCTTAGTATAGGTCTATGTAGCAATATGTTCATATGCTTTTAAAAAAATTTTTTTACATTTTTTATTGATTTTAGAGAGAGGAAGGGAGAGAGATAGGAAAAAAACACATCAATGTGTGAGAGAAACATCAATTGGTTGCCTCCCACATGCACCTGGACTGGGGATTCAAACCCACAACCTGGCACATGCCCTGCTCAGGGATGAAACCAGCAACCTTTTGATGCACAGGATAACACTCAATCAACCAAGCCAGACTGGCCAGGGCCATGTGCTTTTTTGAAAATTTTTTATCATTAGGCGCAAACATTCTTGAAAAGCATTTGTGGGTTTTTGAAAAATGCTAGCTAGTACACTTCTCTAAGGCAGTTATAATGTGATATTTAAGGAAGTTTGGGGCATAAAGCAAGTTAACATTTAGTATATTTGGGTCTAAGTACTTTTTTAAACCTCATTCATTTATTTATTTTGCAAAAATGTGACATTCTTTTGGTCAGAAACCTTGTTTATCTTGTTTAGTCCTGTACCTCCAACACATAAAAGCATCCATGACACATAAAAAGTGCATATCACGTTTGTTGGATTTTATTTTTAATTTATTTATAACTACATTGTCCCCATTGTCACAACTATTAACCTCTTAGCTGCACTTGCCTCCCTATCCAGCAGATGGCTCAGTTAGTCACTGTCATATCCTAAGTAGCACCCTGAATTTCCTCCACATTTCATCTTTCTGCTACATCTATTTTGCCAATTTC